TCTATTCTATTCTATTCTATTCTATTCTATTCTATTCTATTCTATTCCACTCCACTCCACTCCACTCCACTCCATTCCATTCTGATTTCCTCTTTCTATTCTGTTCTGTTCTGTTCCGTTCCATTCCGTTCTACTCCATTCCATTCCAATCCAATCCAATTTCCTGTTCTGTTCTGCTCCATCCCATCCCATCCCATTTAATTCACTCCACTTCACTCCACCCCATCCCACTCTACTCCATCCCATCCGTTCATTCCACTTCATTCCATTCCTTATGGGAAATATTGTTTTTAGTGCTCATCGTTTTTGGTATTCATCGTGCCTCCTGGAACCAATTAACGAAGAGTACCAAGGTACCACTGTGCCTTGCACCTCCTCTTCTGAGTCTTAAACCCGCTTTGAGACATAAGCATCTTCTGACTGGGTTGTGCTGTTCTCCTAGGGCCCGTTCTAAATATTGCAGGCTGAGAAATCTGTAATACTTAATGAAACTCTTCTTCATCTCTCCATCAATGCAGGACGTTGATCTCTACATCGTAAAGCCGGAAGACCTGGCCTTCACCTCTGCGTTTTGCCTCCAGATTCAACGCAACGACTACATTCACGCCTTGGTCACCTATTTTAATATAGAATTTACAAAGTGCCATAAGAAAATTGGGTTTTCTACAGGTAAATAATTCCTTCCTTCCTTCCTTCCTTCCTTCCTTCCTTCCTTCCTTCCTTCCTTCCTTCCTTCCTTCCTTCCTTCCTTCCTTCCTTCCTTTCTTCTTTCCTTTCTTTCTTGCCTTCCTTATTTATTTATTTATTCTTCCTTTCTCTTTCCTGCCTTCCTTCTTCCTTTCTTCCTTTCTTTTTTCTTTCTTTCTTGCCTTCCTTTCTTTCTTCTACCTACCTTCCTTTCTTTCTTTCTTTCTTTCTTTCTTTCTTTCTTTCTTTCTTTCTTTCTTTCTTTCTTTCTTTCTTTCTTTCTTTCTTTCTTTCTTTTTTTCTTTCTTTCTTTCTTTCTTTCCGGCCTTCCTTCCTTCCTTCCTCCCTCCCTCCCTCCCTCCCTTCCTTCCTTCCTTCCTTCCTGGCGTAATAGTTTCCCCTTCCCCCCTTACTTTAATTCATTTCTTGTAACCTAAATGTTCAGTTCTCCTGCGATTAAATGTGCTCTGATGTCCCTTAGTTTCAACCTTGCCCTGCAGTGGGCAATGGATTATTGCGGATTTCATGGGGAGCTATAAACCGACATTGTCGGTTGCTTTGGGAACAAAACAGGGCTAATGGCTCTGATCTGGCATCTCACAACGCTGGAAAAAAAACGATGCTTTACAATTGAAACCTAAAAGCGATGGCTTTATTCATGTGGAAAACGTGCTGCATGTGCTATTATTATTTTAAACCACCACATTTTTCACTTTTACTGCCTTAAGTGCTATCTGGGGGAGGGAGGATTCCCATTGAAGTAATTCTAACAATTCGGTCCCAAATGCAAGCACATAACTATACTCAAGCAGCGGTGCAGAAAGCTTTATTATTTTACTTAGCTCAATACCGGTGCTTCGCTATGAAACTATGTGATTGGGCATAGTTTTGGGGGAGGAAAATAAGGAGAGAAAAAATTCTGCATCTGCCTACCATCATCCATCGGTATTCATCTAGCTAGTGTCCTGTCAGTGTGTGAGAGTTGAGGGCTGTTTGTAAACTGAAACAGTCTTTGCTGTTTGAGCAAGAAAGAGACAGCAAGGAGCCTGGGCGTGGCTCAAGTGTTCTGTACTAAAGCTGGTTGCTGCTGTGAAACTAAAACTGAAATTGAAACTTGTCTGCTTGTGTTTTGCATTTGGAACAGATTTCTTTTCAGGTGGGGAGGGGGAGTAGAACTCCTTAGCATCAGAGCATGTTAATAATAATAATATACAAAATACTAATGCTCTGGTAGTCATTTCAAAAAAGCCTTTCTTAGTGAGCACCTAGAAGCCAAGAGGAACATAAGTGCCAAATTTCAAGTTGGTAGACATTACGGTTCTGGAGATTTTGAATTGATGCGTGAGTGGTATTTTGCTTTTATAGAGAGAGATTTTCATTCTAAGGGTGTCTTCTTCTCTGCTTCTCTGCTTCTGATGCCCTGGGCCTGCAGCTCAGGAGGGGTGTAGACCTAAAGGTGTTTCTCCTCACCTTTTGATCTCCAATGTGTGTGTGTGTGTGTGTGTGTGCTTGAAGGTCATCTAGTCTAACCCACTGCCCAAGCAGGAGATCCTATACCATTCTAGACAAGTGGCTTTCTAGTCTTTTCTTCAAAGCCTCCGGTGATGGAGCAGCTACAACTTCCGAAGTCAAAGCTGTTCCACTGGTTAATTGTCCTCACTGTATAGGAAGTCTCTCCTTTCCAAGTTGCTTCTCTCCTTGATTAGTTTCCATCCATTGTTTCTTGTCTTGCTTTCTGGTCCTTAGGAGAATAAGCTGACCCCCCCCCCTCCTCTTTGTGGCAACCCCCCAAATACTGTAAGACCGCTATCACATCACCCCGAGTCCTTCTTTTCTCTAGACTGGTTATACCCAGTTCCTGCAACCGTTCTTCATGTTTTTGTCTCTCCAGACCTTTAACCATCTTAGTTTGCTCTTCTCTGCATTCTTTCCAAAGTCTCAACATCTTTTTTATACTGTGGTGACGTAAACTTGATGCAGTATGAGTGGCCTTACCAAGACATCATAGCAGTGATGGCGAACCTTGTGCCCAAACCAGAAGGCGCCAGAAGTGGCATTCAGCAGGTTCTGACCAGTTCTGGAGAACCGGTATTAGCGGAAAGTTTGAGTAGTTCAGAGAACCTGCAATCCTGCCTCTGACTGGCTCCGCCCCCATCTATTCTCTGCCTCCCATTGAGTCCCAGCTGATTGGCTGGGTTTTCTTTTGTTGGCCTGCACAGGAGAACGGAGCTGGAAAGCAGGTTAGTGGGGTGGGGAGGGAATGGGGATTTTGCAGTATATCCTTCCCCTGCCACACCCACCAAGCCACACCACACTCACCAAGCCACGCCCACAGAACCAGTAGTAAAATAATTTGAATCCCACCACTGGAATGTGCATGCATGTGAATGCATGGGACGCGCCCCGAAGCACAAGAACCCGGAGACCAGCTGGCCGGCGTGTGCATGCCTGATTTTTGGCTGGTTTGGGGGAAAACAACCCCCAAACAGACAGAAAACAGCCTGAAGAACAACCTGAACATGGCAGAAAAAAAGACAATAACCTGTTTGGGGGCCATTTTGTTGACCGTTTCAGGCCATTTTCCAGCACTCCATCGACTGCAAAGACCAGCTGACCGATGCCCATGCTCACAGAGAAGGCTCTGCATGCCACTTCTGGCATGCGTGCCAAAGGTCCGCCATCACGGTCTTATAGAGAGATAACTCACACGTCCTGGGCTTGGGACTTGGGATGGACTCACTAGCAGTGGTGGGATTCAATCTTTATTTTTACTACCGGTTCTGTGGGCGTGGCTTGCTGGGCGTGGCAGGGGAAGGATATATGCAAAATCTCCATTCCCTCCCCACCCCACTAACCTGCTTTCCAGCTCCATTCTCCTGTGCAGGGCAACCAAAGGAGACCCAGCGGATCAGCTGGGACTCAATGGGAGGCGGAGAAGAGATGGGGGCGGGGCCAGTCAGAGGCGGGATTTTCCGGTTCTCCGAACTACTCCAAATTTCCGCTACCGGTTCTCCAGAACTGGTCAGAACCGGCGGAAGACCACCTCTGCTCACTAGGGCAGCTCCATTGTGGCTGTTCTTGGCTATTCAGCTTTTGCAAAAGGCCACTTGACCTTCCCTAACTCAACAACTGCAGCGATTCACTTATATGTACAGATAGACCTCGACTTAATGGACCCAAAATTTATCTTCCTAAGCAAGGCAATTGGTAAGTATCTCATTTTACGACAGTTTTTTTTTGCCACAGTTACAGGTATTTCTTGACTGACGCAGGGGTGGGGCTGCTGGGGGTTCGCAGGGGTTCGGGAGAGCCCCTAGCTATGATTCTGTGCAGTTCGGACAACCACCCAAATCCCACTCCTGGCTGGCCCCGCCCCACCCACCCCACCCCTCCCAGGAGTCCCCACCTGGCCCATTTTGGATGCAGGTAAGTGCAGGACACACACAGAGGCTCGGAGTGTGTGTGTGAAAAAATGGGCCTCTTGGAAGTTCAGGAAGGTTGGAAATGGGTCCATTTCCAGCCTCCAGAGAGCCTCCAGAGCCTGGGGAGGCCCTTTTTGTCTTCCCAGAGGCTCAAGGAAAGCCTCTGGAGCCCAGGGAGGGTAAAAATGCCCGGCTGACTAGGCCACACCCACCATGGCTACATCCACCCAGCAACCAGACAGAGAACCCTCTGCTAAAGTTTTGGAAGCCCATCCCTGGACTTACCCCAGGATATTTACTGTTCAAAGTTACAGCAGCCCTGAAAAAAAGTGACTTATGACTGTTTTTCACACTTACGACCGTTGCAGCACCCCCAGGGTCACATGATCAAAATTCGGATGGCTGGAAGCTGATTTGTATTGATGTCAGTTGCTGTGTCCTGGGGAACCTCAAATTCAGGATGTCCTCGACTTATAACAGTGCATTTAGTGGCCGATCAAAGTTAGAACGGCACTGGAAAAAGTGACTTAGGACTACTTTTCACCCTTATGACCGTTGCAACGTCCCCATGGTCATCAAAATTCAGACACTTGGCCGCTGACTCATATTTACTATGGTTGCAATGTCCTGGGATCATGATATTCCCCTTTGGCGGCCTTCTGACAAAGCAAAGTCAGCAGGGAAGCCGGATTCACTTAATAACTGTGTTATTCATTTCATAACTGTTTGCAGTGTGACTGCTATTGTTGGACAACCCAGGAGCAAAATAGAGCACGCAGACATTTAACAGTGGTTTATATACAAGACATATACAGAAATATAAGTTGTAGCAGGGGTGGGATTCAAATTTCTTAACAACCGGTTCTGTGGTTGTGGCCTAATTTGTGGGTGTGGCTTGGTGGCCATGTGACTGGGGCAGGACCTGCTGACTGGGCATGGCTTGTATGTAAATATTGTAAATATTTATGTAAATGTTGATTTTTTATTTTTTTAAAAAGAGCAATTTTTATCCAAAATCAGACAAAGAAGGCAGGCAGATTGAGTTGCTTGCAGAATCACAGATTCAATCAGAGATCTACCTTTCTGCAATCTGCTGCCTGAGTCTGTCACATAAAATTTGCTTGCAAGCAAACTCACAAAATTAACTCACAACACACCATCTATGTAAATATTGAATTTTTTATTAAAAAAGAACAACTTTTACCCAAAAACAAGCAAAGAAGGCAGGCAGATTGAGTTGCTCGAAGAAGCACAGATTCACTCAGAGATCTACCTTTCTGCAATCTGCTGCTTGAGTCTGCACTGAAAAATAGAAGCTTCAGTCTTAAGGAAGGTTCAGCTCTGCTCTCAGGCCACTTTTCTCCCTGCACACAACTCCCTGAATACTACCCCTGAATGGCCTTTCAGGGAAGCCTCCTGGGCGAAGGCAAAGCAGTACAACAGCGATTTAGATTAGCTAGAAAGCGAGAAATCCAACAATTTCCTGATTACTAGCTAATCTAAATCTCGCGGCACAGCTGATAGTCAGAATAGCTGATGGTTGGGGGGGGGGGGAAAGGAAAAATAGCAACTTACCAAAAATTAGGCAAAGGCATCACTTGGGCAAGTTGGATGGCGCGCATGCCAGGTAAGGGTGACTGAGCAGGGTAGGGCCAGCCAGCGGTGCGATTTGCCGGTTCTCCGAACTGTGCAGAATTGTAACAACCAATTCTATAGAACCGGTCTGACCAAGTAGAACCTCACCCAAGTGATAGGCAAAATACCTTACAAGCAATTAATCTTCTTCTTAACTCTACATGGAGAACTCTGCAATGAATGCCGGACACAAGGAGAGAGAATACACCCTCTAATGGCTGCCTTATATAAACTTCTGTGACTCATTCTTCATCTTAATGATTCACCCTCAATTGCATTCAGCCTTACATTGCATCAGCCTTAGAGGAGCTGGCAGCTATTAAATCTTATACCTCAACAATAACTGCAGTGATTCACTTAACAACTATGCCTAGAAAGGTGGTAAAATGGGGCAAAACTCACTTAGCAACTGCCTCTTTTAGCAGGAAATTGGGCTCAATTATGAGCATAAGTCAAGGGTTACTGTATGTGTACTTATCTCACATTTCTATCCCAGCAAGCACTCATGGCAGTTAATAAAAAAAAAAGATGAACAAAGTAGAAAAGATTTTAAAAATACAAATAGAAGTTAACAATCAACTAAATTCTAAATCATTTAACAGTTCAAAGCCAAATGCAAAAGATGTTATCTTTACGGGTGTTTTGAAGCAAGCAGAAGACAAATTTATTTCTTGAGACAGCATGTTCCAGCCTGAGAGCAATGCAGGAAAAATGTCTCCTAGGATATCCCCTGACAGCAGAATAGCATCCTGCAAAGAGCCTATCCTGCAAATCCGTTCTGGGCAGGGTTGACTCAGTTGAAAGGCGGCCAATCCCTTAGAAAGTTAAGCTCCAAGCTTTTGAACAAGATCAATACCTGCAGTAAGGGAATTGTACACAGTAAGCAGTTGGCAACCAAGGGCAGATCTTTCTGGATCTCCCATTCTGGGATCTATGTACCGCATCTGTCAGCCCCCAGCTGTCATAGTTTGCACTAAATGCAGTTTCTGGATTCCTTCGGGGAGGACTTTGTGGCAGAGGTGGGATTCAGCAGGTTCTGACCAGTTCTGGAGAACCGGTAGCGGAAACTTTTAGTTCGAAGAACCAGCAAATCCCACCTCTGACTGGCTCTGCCCCCATCTCTTCTCTGCCTCCCATTGAGTCCCAGCTGATCGGCTGGCTCTTCTTTGGTTGCCCTGCACAGGAGAACGGAGCTGGAAAGCAGGTTAGTGGGGTGAGGAGGTAATGGAGATTTTGCAGTATCCTTCCCCTGCCACGCCCACCAAGCCACTCCTACCAAGTCATGTCCACAGAACCAGTAGTAATTTTTTTGGAATACCACCACTTCTCTGTGGTCAGCATGTTGCTGTAGCGAAGGTAACAGAAACAGGTTGTAAAATGGGGCAAAAACCCCTTAACAAACGCCTCACTTAGGATCAGAAGTTTGGAGTTCAATTGTGGTTGCAAGTCAAGGACCACCTGTGCCAAAGACCCTCATGTTAATCCTGAGCTACAAATATTGCTTGAAACTCGTATCTTGAGGAACTTCAAGTGTGATCCTAACACCGTTGTGAATCCCTAATCATAACAGAATAGAATAACTGAAAAACAGAGTGGGAAGGGACCTTGGAGGTCTTCTAGTCCAACCCCACCCCCAAGCAGGAGACCCTACACCATTTTTGACAGATGGCAGTCCTGTCTCTTCTTGAAAGCTTCCAGTGATGAAGCTGCCACAACTTCCGAAGGCAACTTCTGTTCCATTGGTTGATTGTTCTCACTGTCCGAAAGTTTCTCCTTATTTCCAGGTTGAATCTCTCCTTGTTCAGTTTTCATCCATTATTCCTTGTCTGGCCTTCAGGTGCTTTGGAGAATAGCTTGACCCCTTCCTCTCTGTGGCAGCCCCTCAAATATTGGAAGACTGCTATCCTGTCTCTCCTGGTCCTTCTCTTCACTAGACTAGCCAGGCCCAGTTCCGGCAACCTCTCATCTTATGTTTTAGCCTCCAATCCCCTAATCATCTTGGTTGCTCTTCTCTGCATTCTTTCTAGAGTCACAAAGTGAACAGCTGCAAGTTGAGGACAACCTATATATATAGTACTTTCTTTCAAAGCCAAAGGGACAGCCATATTAGTGAAATCAGTATTTTAATTCTGTGACTTTATTCTTAAATACAGGTTGTTCTCGACTTAACAACAGTTAGTGATAGTACAAAGTTACAACGCCACTGAAAAAGTGACTTATGACTATTTTCCACACTTATGAACATTGTAGCATCCCCACAATCACATGAATAAAATTCGGACGTTCGGCAGCTGACTCATATCTATGACAGTCTCAGTATTCTGATGAGCCAAATCAATGGGGGAAGCCAGATTCACTTAACAAGTGTGTTTATGACTTAATAATTGTTGTGGTTCGCCAGCAGCAGGTGTGGAGGGCCAAGGTCTCGGAGAGCGAGGACTCAGATGAGGGGCCTGCGTGTGATACAGGGATGGGGCCAGGACTATCAGGGAGTGGAGTGCTGCCTTTGGAGGTTGTGGAGGCTGGCAGCAGTGATGAAGAGGTCCCGGAGGAGCCTGTGCCCAGTGCGTGTGTGAGCAGGGCTGCTTGAAGGAAAGAGCAGCTGCAGCAGCACGGGCGACTCAAGAGTAAGGCTGCAAGGTAATGGCCCCTCCCTTCAGAGATAAAAGCCAGCTGAGAAACTGCAGTTCTTTGCAGAAGGCAAAGACGTTTGATACTCGACCCTGGTGGACGTTAGGAATATCTGAGTTGGTGTTTGGAGACTCTTTGATTTATTGTTTAAGAACTTTATCTGTTGTTCTTGGCAGCCTTGCAAAAACTTGGCAAGGCTCTTCCTTATCACAGCTAATTAGTTGGAAGCAGCCTTTTTTACCTGTGAAGGAAGGGGATTCGTAAATGAAACAGTAAAAGGTTGTGCTGTTATCTTTGTCTTGTGTTTGCTCTCTTGGAACCAGGTTTGGGTCAGAACAATAACTGCAGCAATTCACTGAACAAAAGTGACAAAGAAAGACGTAAAATGGAGCAAAACTCACTTCACAAATTTTCTCACTTAACCACATACACTCTGGGCTCAATTCTGATCGTATATCGAGGACTACCGGTGCCCCCCGAACCATTTCTTTGGTCTTTAGTTTGCAGAAACAGGTCAATACGAATAAAGCGAGGATTTCAAAACCTTTGATATCGGAAAACTCTTTTCTTTTTTTATTTATTAATTAGCCTACCATAGGCCATTATCAATGTACAGGATCAAACACATATTATCTATAAAATTCAAAACAGACCATTTAAAATGAGAGTAGGATAAAATACAATTTAATACATAAACATGTACAATAGATTAAAACAACGTAAAATTGTATTTCTTTTATCACCCCTGTGATTTATCCCAGTCAGGCCCACATAGGCTGATCTCAGTTGGACCCACCCGGTGATCAGATCAGCTGGTTATAAAAATCCTTGCAGTTGTGTGAAGTCTTTTGTATACTTTCTGGGGAAGTAAAATCACTGAACTTAATCCTATCTCTGAGTGTCGCTTTGCAGAACTGCCTTCTCAGGTAAAATCTGCAGGTAAACAGTTTGTCCCTGGTGGAGACTGACTCTGAGGGAGAGGAGGAACAGCCAACAGGGAGTGGAAGTGTGGCTCCGGAGGTTGTGGAGGAGGCTGGGGAAGGGCAGAGACCAGCAGGGAAGTCAGAGGAGAACCCAGGCCCATCCCCTCTGCATCCTAGGACATGCAGGGAGGAGAGGATCAGGGAGAGAAGTGGTCTGCTCGGGAGGAGAGGGCCTTGATCCTCTTCATGGGCTGCAGCTGTGACAACTGAATAAGAGGACAGACATGCATATGAGTGAGTGCTGGAAACAAAGCGTGGAAATATCTCTAGTTTATGGTTCCTCTCTGAGTTTGGCGTCCTTCCCAGTGTGTGTTCTGCTATCTGCGAACATCCTCCAGCCCTTATCTTGCCTGGTTTGTGTTGCTTTTTTCCTTCTTCTTGTAACTGTTTGTGTGGGAATTTTTTGTCTCCAGTCAAGGATATTTGGAGCTTGGAAGCAAAGTGAAGGAATACAAGGGGCTTCACCTGTTTTTTGTGACTGTGTTTATTCTGTATCTCACCCTGGATCATCAGTTTCTAAAAAGAACCAAATGTCTTTTTTTTTCCCCGTAGCTCCGGACGCGCCTTACACTCACTGGAAGCAAACTGTATTTTACCTGGAGGATTATCTAACTGTCCGAAGAGGGGAAGAAATCTATGGAACCATATCCATGAAACCAAATGAAAAAAATGAGGTAAGTTAGGTATATATATATATTCATATATATATATGAATGCTGGCGTCCAGATTGGGCAGCTGGTTTCAGGGATAGGATTTTAGAGGCATTTTTGTCAGACAAGTTAGTAGGTTAAAATCCCAGTCTGATCTTAAAGAATCATGTTTTATAGCTAAAGGCTTAGGATTTTTATTTATTTATTTGTATCCCACCTTTATTATTTTTATAAATAAGCCAAGATGGCAAACATATCCAAGACATCTTCCTCCTTGCGTTGAGTAAATGAGACCCATTAGAGCAGAGTTCACCAACTCTTTCCGGGTTGGCGGTCCAGAGTGCGGTGGGGGGGAATAGGGGATGGTTTTGTGGGAGGGGTAGGTGCATGTGCACGAGCACCCATTACTTGCGGGAGTGGGGCCTTAAGCATCCACCATGGGCTGCGAGTAGCTGCGTGAGTGGGCCGGTCAGCGCCCGTGACATTTCCACACGCACCTGCCAGCTACTTGGAAAAGGAAAAACTTGGAAAAACTACTTGGAAAAACCCTTTACTGTTCTTTGGAAGGGTAGATCCTGCAGCAGAATCTGAAATATGGGAACTCCTCGACTTACAACAGTGGCAACAATTTAGTGGCTGTTCAAAGTTACAATGGCACTGAAAAAAGTGACTTAGGACTACTTATCACACTTATGACCTTTGCAGCATCCCCATGGTCATCAAAATTCCTTTATGACAGTTGCAATGTCCTGGGATCAGAGATCCCCCTTGGGGACCCTTCTGACAAAGGAAAGTCCACGGAGAAGCCAGATTCACTTAACGACCACATTACTAGCCTAACAACTGCAGTGATTCACTTAACAACTGGGGCAAGGAAGGCCCTAAAATGAGACAAAATTCACTTAATGAATGACTCTCTTAGCAAGAGAAATTTGGGGCTCAATTGTGGTCATAAATCGAGGGCTACCTGGACATTGGCCACTCCTTGGAGAAGACCTCGATGTTGGGAAAGTGGGAAGGCCAAAGGAGAAGAAGACGGCAGAGGAGAAGATGGCTAGATTGGTTTGTTGTCATGATGAACATTGAGTTTGGGTGAATTCTGAGGGACAGGAGACAGGACCACCGATGGGATTCAAATAATTTAACAACCAGTTTGCCCAGGGTCAGGATGGCTGTCCTGGGAGGCGTGCCCCATTCCTATCCTCCAGCTCTGCCCCACACGTGGGAACACAAGACCATCCTGCAATGGCCAACCTGACCCTGGGTGAACCGGTTGTTAAATTATACCTCTCTGCTATCAAGGTGGATCCTGGTGCTGCGCTGCAATGGAGAAACAGGCAACGGAGCAGACGGCACGAGAGATGGAAAAGGAGCAGGGAGAAGAAAGAGGGAAAGCGGCCTTCTCCTTCCCTCACGACGGCTGCTCCGTTGCCCATTTCTCCATTGCAGCGCAGCGAGTAGTGGGACTCATCCAGTTTGCACCACTTCAGGAGAACCGGTTGTTAACTTTCTGAGCAGTTTGGTGAATTGGTTGTTAGAAGAAATCATTAGGGCAGAGGACCGGTTGTTAAATTATTTGAATCCCACCACTGAGCGCAGTGCCCAGGAGTCACTTTAATAGTTGAGGGGGAAAATAATTTAACAACCGGTTCACGTGAACCGGTGAGAACCGGCTGAATCCCACCACTGGACAGGACTATGGGGTTGTGGGGAGTCAGGCACAACTTAGTGCCGAATAACAGCAACCAGTCGAAAGAGAAGGACAGCCTGGGTTGACTCTCTCTTGCATGAAGACGCAAGATGAAGCATGGGTTCCATCCCACTGACCTGGCATAAAACCAGAGAACATCGGCTCAGCCGGCCAACGCAAGCCATCTGAGGCATTGAGCAAACCCTGAAAAATGGTCGCTGGAAACCAACATTATAATCCATCCGGAAGTCCCCAGGTGGCAGGGCACCATCTGTTCTCATTAATGGGAACATTTCTGACTTTCCTCGAGCGTGAAAGAATCCTCTCCGTTGGCCAAGACTTTTTTCCATTGTGCCTACAACATCATTGACTTGATGTCAACAACTTGGCTCTCTTGAGTGCTCCGGCAGGCTCATGGATCAGCCCTGGAAAATATTTGGTGTTTTATCACAGCGAGGGTGGGGGGGTCAGCTTAGAGCTGGGCAGCTGTGCATTTGATTGAAGGGTGCCAGTAAAATAGTTTCCTCTAATTCCCTATAAATTGCCGTTCCCCCCCCCCCCCCACACACACAGCCTGACTGGAGGGTTGCATGGAGGGAGCTCTTTCAAACTTAGCAAGACTTTGGAGCACGGTGTTATTTGGGACTCGGAGGGAATCTCTTGAATGGCGAGGCGGAGATCTTTTTGTGAATTGCTTTGGTTTGGGGGTTCCCGTTGACTAACACAGCTCTCCCGGGGTGTGCAATTCACACAATTGTTGTCTTGCTCCAGAAAGCTTCTTTAGGGAGCTTCTGGGCACCTTTTCCAAGCTGAAGGGGTGGGCAGCCATTGGCAGAACCGCAATCTCCATTGGCGGTGAAGCGGGGGAGGCACAGCCGTTCCATGCAGGAAGAGACCAAGAGGATTGTCCCTTTTTGAAATCTCCCCCCACCCCCCACTCAATGGAAGTGGTTGAATGACATGTTCCTGATCCAGTAAGGCAGACCATGTGTTCTGACCAAAGCTCTCCGAGACCATAATTAAGCACATGCTTAGTCCAAACAACTGTTGTTTTATTTCGACGCTGGGAATTATGCTCATTCCCAGCCCATAATGAGTCCCAAACAGTCCCGCAAGATAAGCACCCACCTTTCTCTCCTTTGAATTGCTGCCAACAACTAAAGTGCCAAATTAACTGTAAAAAGCCAAGCGGAGTACAAAGTCCACTCCACACAAAGCTTCAAAGTTTAATCTGAACAGAACGAACGACTTTGCTTCCTGCAAAGGTTTCTCTACCTTTGCACCTCCTTTATACCTTATACTGCAACTGAGACATAATTTCTATGGCTGAGTGAGAAACTTTTTAAAGTGAGTTTCCCCCCATTTTAATGACTTTTTCTTAAGTGAATTCCTGCCATTGATTTTAAGTTAGTAACATGGTTGTTAAATGAATCTGGCTTCCCCATGGTCTTTGCTTGTCAGGTGGTTGCAAGAGGGGATTGCCTGACCCCAGGACAATGCATCTGTCGTAAATATGAGTCAGTTGCTGAGCGTCCGAATTTTGGATCGCGTGACCCTGGGGGAGGCTGCGACGGCTCCAAGTGCCAAAAACGGTCCTAACTCACCTTTTTTCAGTGCCGTCGTAACTCGTAAACTGAACCGGTCACTAAGTGAAGTGTTGTAAGACGAGGGTCTCCCCAAAGTGCAGGGTTAACCACAGGCCTTCTCTCGTTCATAACCGGTAAGCAAAAGGATCTGATCTCTACGTTCTTTGCAGCGTGACCTCGACTTCATGGTGGAGTTGGATTTTAAAGGGCAGCTTTGCGAAGCCTCTGTATCTAATGACTATAGGATGCGCTAATGAGCAGCTGTCTTTGAAGACGTGCGGTTCTGGATTTGACCCCCCAAAAGAAGTGCAGTTCTGGATTTTGACAGTGCCAGAGGAGTGAGCTTTATCACTATCAAAACTCGCCGCCCGGACGTTCTGTGGATCTGGAAATTTGTTCATCTCCTCACCCTGCCAAGATCGTCCAAAGAGTAACAACAACTTCCCGTTAAAGGATTGTATACATATTTTTACAGGCACCTGGTGTTGTGCTGACTTGTATCCCGACACGTTTAAGCAGAGGTGGTATTTAGCCAGTTCCGGAGAACCAGTAGCAAAAATTTTGAGTCATTCGGAGAATTGGCAAATCCCACCTCTGACTGGCCCCGCCCCCATCTATTCTCTGCCTCCCAGCTGATCGGCTGGGTTTTCTTTGGTTGCCCTGCATAGGAGAATGGAGATGGAAAGTAGGTTAGTGGGGTGGGGAGGGAATGGGATTTTATAATAACCTTCCCCCAGGAGTGGGGAGGGAATGGAGATTTTGTAGTATCCTTCCCCTGCCACGCCCACCAAGCCAAGCCACACCCACAGATCTGGTAGTAAAAGTTTTTGAATACCACCTCTGGTTTAAGGGGGGCAGCCAAATTGAGATACCATCTTGTTAGTTTTGACATTTCTTTTTTTCATTTTGTTTTTTAAAAAACAAACCTGCATACAAATAATATTCACGTGCTTGTATCATATATATATATATTTTGCAAGCTTTCATGGCTTTTTTTAAAATACAGCCCTTGGAATACAACCAACTCCTAAATTTGTCTTAGGAAACGGTCTTCTTTTTTACCGCCTACAGGTAGTCCTCGAATTAGGACCACCATTGAGCCCAGAATTGCTGTTTCTAAGTGAGATGTTTGTTGGGTGCCCCGTTGGATGAGCTTTCTTGCCCGCTATTGTTAAGCAAATTGCTGCTCTGGTTCAATTAGTAACACGGTCATTAAGGGGGAGAAGGTTGCAAAAGGGGATGACAACCGTCATAAATACGAGTCAGTTACCACGCGTCTGAATTTGGATCGCATGACTGAGAGGATGCCTGTTATGTGAAAAACGGTCAGTCACTTTTTTTCAGTGGTGTTGTAACTTTGGTCACTAAATGAACTGTTGTTAAGTCGAGGACTACCTGTATTCAATTGTGACACTCGATGGAATTGCCAAAGCGGAAGTGTTGTGTTTTCATTATTTTGAGGCAGGACGTAAGAGACGGCAACGTACCCTCCCAAAATAAGCTTAATACTCTTTTAAAGAAAATCTTGACACCCCCTCCTCAAGACAAAAGAGAAAAAGACACCCCTCCAGACACACACACTCACACACACACACACACAGAGCAGATCCAGCATGATCTGAAGTTGTTGGTCTCTGGCACCACAATGGCTCTTCTCTCTGGCCAGCGCAGGATCTCCAGTCTGCTTCAGAACAAGTATGAAAGGAAGGATAAAATAAAATAAAACGGGGAAGTTCTTGGTGCTCTCTACGCTTGGTCATTCATTTTCAGATGTTTGGTTACCTGACCAGGTAATGTTCTCAGTGCTAGAGAATAAAGTTTCCTCTTGCAATAGAAGTCTCTTGGAATTTGATGGGTTTCTCTCATTTTACATCTGTTCAAAACAGAGCAGAAAAACACCTTTTGCTTCAACAGCCCACAGGAAAGTGTGTGTGTGTGTGTGTGTGTGTGTGTGTGTGTGTGTGTGTGAGAGAGAGAGATTTTTTGCTGCCCTACTATAACGATCAGAAATCCACCTACCTGCCAATGCATGCAAGAAGATGATTTAAGTAAAGCACAGTTCTTAACGAATGTGCTTGAATTTGCCTCTGTGTTTGTGTGTGTATCTTTACACTTCTCTTTGTCCAAAGCAGGGATGTCCAACCTTGGCCACTTTTAACTTCCAGAATTACGTACGTCAACGAAGACTCCATCATCCAGGCCAAAAGTAATCTAAAAAGGTTCAGTCAGGGGCAACAGGACCAAAGTATATTCGTACACTTTCATAAACAGTTGCCATGATTTAACTTTTTGAACTCCCAGAATTGGACTCGCAGGGCTGGCTGGGGAATTTTGGGAGTTGAAGTCCACATGCAGGCTTCAAAATATTTAGCAACTGGTTCTCTACCCGGTTGCTGGGTGGGTGTGGCCACGGTGGACATGGCCTAGTCAGTCTTCTTCACCACAGCGAGGTGTGTGCGGTTTTGCCCTCCCGGGCTCCGGAGGATTTCTTCAAGTCTCTGGGAGGGCAAAAAAGGCCTCCCCGGGCTCCGGAGGTTCTCTGGAAGCCAGAAACAGGCCCATTTCCAGCCTTCCCGAACTTCCGGGAGGCCCGTTTTTGACCTCCCTGAGCCTCTGCGCATGCCTCGCACTTACCTGCATCCAAACCGGGCCACGTGGGGACTCCTGTGAGGGGCAAGGTGGGCGGGCAGGGGCCATCCAGTCGTTGCAACTACAGGTTCAGTGAACCTGAGGTAAAATTAACATCCAGGTCGCTTGAACCGGTGTGAACCGGTAGCAGCCCACCTCTGTCGACATGTCTTTTAAGCGGCCAAGGTTGGAAGTTCCTGGAAATTCCAGGAAGGATGTTCGTAGGCTGCCTCCGGATAGGAAATCAGAAGGACCAAGGGCTTCATGAGGGCTAAGCTTCCATTCTTTGAGTTGAATTGGTTTTTGATTAACAGATTAACAGAGTTGGAAGGGACCTTGTAGGTCATCTAATCCACCCCACCTTTTTTTTTTTTTTAATAAGGACAGGCGGGGGGGAAATGGGACTCCAAGGACTTTCAGGGAGGTAGGTGACCTTCCCTCTGTCTCCAGAGATGCTTAGCACCCAAACAACCTTCCAAGGCACTTTGTCTTTCCACACTGGTCTTCTTGCAGAAGGAAGAGAGGCGGGACAGCACAGATGGCCTCTGACCTTGCCTCCACCCTCGACCAGCTCCAAACTTTGCGGTCAGTGGGGCTTCGTGTCTATGGAGATTCCCAGCCATTCTGACCTCCCGCAGGTGGAGAGGCCTGTCTTCTGAGCTGAATGAGGTAGAAGAACAGATGGGGCCCAACCCAGATGCGCATATGCGTAGAGAGGAGAGCAGCTGGAAGGCAATAAGCTGGCTTTCAGGGAAAAGAAGCCGTAGACCAGAGGTGTCAAACTCGATTTCATTGAGGGCTGTATCAGGGGTGTGTATGACCTCGGAGAGCTGTGTGAGCAGGACATGGGATTCGTGTTGGGGGCACCTGTGGTGGCCAAGTTCTAATGCAGGACTTCAATGAGACTCCCCTCACTCTCATTATAATCAATCTTCCTTCCTTCCTTCCTTCCTTCCTTCCTTCCTTCCTTCCTTCCTT